CCCAAGTTTTAGTTCTCCAAAAATTCATGTGAAAATAAATATTGTTTCCATTTGTTTTTTTATATTTATTATGTATTGCTTTTGCAATTTTAAGATTTGTCGTTTAGGATTGTGTCGATGTTGGAATGTCGCATGAAAATCCACTGAATAAGTTGGACGAATGCATGCTTTGGATGTTCGATTTTGTACATGGCCAATGCCACAACGACGATGGTATATTTCTCTTTCTCTGGTAAAGCTCTGTCTTTAAATGTATTTTTGTTTTAGGGAGTTTTTGTCTCTCTTCTGCTTATCCATTTGTTAAAGTCATGACTGACGTGTTTCAAGAATCAGTTCTTCCTATTCAAGGTTGTTTCACAGTACCGTTCTTGTGGTTTTACCTGTGCAGTTTCCGAGAGGTATGCGTTCAATATGTTGATCCTTCTCTTATCCTGACTTTTAGATGATCAGCAATTATTTCATGAAGTGGCTTTGGAGGACTGTCCGAAGTCCATCTGTTCCTCCAAATTTACGTCTGAATGCTTCTTGTTATCTTGCAAGTATTTTGGCCAGGGCAAAATATGTCAGTATAGAGTAAGCTGTTTTTTACTTGCTTTCCATCGAATTTTGACTGTGATCTGCATTGGTGAAAATATTTTAAGAAGCTGTGCTAAGCATAAGTTTCTGTCTTTCCCGTAGTTACAGACATAATCATCATTTGCTTATTTTTTTTACGGTTTTGTAATTGCTGGTTCGTATACTTGTTTATACTTTTTAAGGCAAGATTGAGTAGAAGATAACTTAAATTGCTAAACAAGATTGAACGGTTTTATTCAAACATCGTTCTTATAATTTCCTGAAGAATGATGCGTAAATTTGATCATGCCGTCTACCCTCTGCACTGGATGCCGATTCGTGATAAGAAAAATGGATGATCTAATACCAGCTAGAGAAGCAGAGATAACTTCATTTGCGAACGTTGCATGACCAAGATTTCAGTATCCGGCTTAGCACATTATCATGAGTCTGACACTTGTTAGAATACTTCAACCCATAAGCCTTTATAAAATGACCTAGACGTTTTGCAAGAATAGCTTTCGTATTCTTGGAACCTCGATTCACTTTTGCTACGAAAGTAGTCACTTTTGGTCATTACATAGTTTTGTTAAAAAAAGTCAGTTAGCTGAATTTTCAATGCATTGGCAGGCATAGTAAATCAGATGTAAATGTTAAAATAGGAAGTAGCTTGATGCCACACTGACAATATACAACGAAATTTAATGAAGGTTTTTTCATTGCATTGTTTTATCCAGAGCTAATTTCTGCTTCGTTGGCGCCCTGTTTTTTAAGGGGAATATTTCTATTTATTTGTTGAACAGATCGCATGCCGTGTTTTGATTTTTTAGGACGGTGTTGCTTCATGTTCGCGAATGGACTGACTGGCTTCATCAGTTCATCGACACCGACGACTCTGGCAGTAATTCATCCGCTGCTTATTGTTACACATTTTATGCCATCTGTCAAAGCTTGTTGTACGTCATTGCCTTTCGAATAAGGGAAATAATCTCTTTGCCAACCGGTGGGCTCATTCAGAGGAAATTTCTGTGATTACATCATCATTTTAGGTTATGAATTTCTCGAACGATTGAATCTGAATCGCATAATCACCTGCAGCCTCAATCCTCTTCGCTACTGTTCTAGTGATTTACTGACTAACTTTGCCAATGTTAGCCGGTATGACGGACTACTTTTCTGTAATTAGTGCAGACGTTTGTCATTGATGTCGTATTTAGCCTTGATGAAATTTAAAATGAGCAAATTTATTGTCTGATATCGATGTGTAGATTCAGCCCAGAAGTCAGTCATGTTTCAACAACAATTTGACCAGTTGCTAAGATACCAATTTTATAGATGTAGTAGGTAATTAGTGTTTAATTCATTACTTTATAACGAACACTAAACAGCGGTGGCCTCATTATTAGGTGGATCAGTTGAAGTAACCATTTCGCTGATTGAGGTATACCTAGTTTCAGAGGTTTCTTTAGCTTTAAGATTGCAGCGTCCTCTTTAACAAACAGTCTAGTGCTTTCATCTATATCAGTTTAGCGAAGAGGCGGCCATTCTTTTAGCGAATGTGAAATGTTTTTATGATCTCTTTCAGGAACTACCAATTCGCCTTCTGCTACACCGTTAT